ATGCTAAAGAAGGGAAGCTCCCGAGCTACGTAGTCGTGGAGCAACGATACACGGACACTAAGGCTAACCCTGCCAACGACGATTACCCATCACACAACGTGTACCATGGTCAATTGTTCGTAAAGGAGGTGTATGAAACCCTAAGGGCTAGTCCACAATGGAATGAAACCCTCCTCTTGATCACATACGACAAGCATGGTGGATTTTACGATCATGTCCCTACCCCGGTTAGTGGGGTCCCTAGCCCAGATGGTATTGTGGGGCTAGAGCCTTTCTTATTTAAGTTTGATAGGTTGGGAGTTCGGGTCCCTACTATAGCAGTTTCACCTTGGATCGAGAAGGGTACTGGTAAGTATATAATCAACGTCGTGTTTATTTTAATTTAATCAACTTTTATTTGACTTTGGAGAAATTGATGAGAGAAAGTATCTAGATAATGCTTTTGACTAAATGGGTTGAGAGCTGGATTTTGTAATTGCATTATTGGTTTCATTGTGGCCAAGTGGAGTCCAAAGTAAAATTTTGATGATATTGGAGATTTATTTAATTAGCTAGAAATGCAAAATGTTATAATTGAAATAATGAAATCCAACTAAAGTTGAAGATAGAATTAGCTAGAAACCTAAAAAACATAGATGGCCAAATAATTATTATTTTTAACAAAAAGTTGTAATTGAATAGTTTGTTGACCTAAGTTGTACAATACTTCAAAGAGTTTCCACATTAGAAGGTAAACCTTTTGAAAGAGTTAGGTAAATTGACTTCCTACCACATCCATGTTTTCTCCATTTACAAGTTTTCTTTGTAGAAGATACAAATGATGTTTGATTTGCAATAATCGTAGTATTTTTAAAGTTTTATTTTGTTATTATGTATGTGCTCAATTCATATACGATATATCTTTTGTACGATTTTTCGTGCATTAATGAATAGTTTAAAAGTAATATAGTTATTTACCAAAAAATAAAATTTCTAAATTTCTAAACAATTTAAACATTGATTAATTGATGATTATATGTATATGATGGTTCAGTAAACATAGAGTTTAGAACTAATATCCGACCTTAGCTCAGTTGGTAGAGCGGAGGACTGTAGTTGTTCAAATAGACATCCTTAGGTCGCTGGTTCGATTCCGGCAGGTCGGATTTTTTTTTATTATTCCATTTTTGGTTGGAAAATTAATTTCTTATTCCACAAGTGTTTATAGAATGCTCAACTTGTTCATATGTGACACAATTTTGCAGTTGTTCATAAGGCTAAAGGACCATATCCAACATCAGAGTACGAGCACTCGTGGATTGCAGCTACTGTCAAGAAACTCTTCAACCTGTCTAGTCCTTTCCTAACTAAAAGAGATGCTTGGGCTGGCACCTTTGAGGGCATTGTACAAACCCGAACTCAACCTAGAACAGATTGTCCTGGTTAGTTCACACTTTTCTTAAACTACACCAGTACAACATAATGTCTTCGTGTATTACTTGAAAACTCATTCTTCATATAAATAATTATGTTTGTATATATGGTATTATGGTTATAGTGCAACTGCCAATGCCGGTGAGGATGAGGCAGGGGGAGGCAGATGAAAACAGGCAGCTGAGTGAGTTTCAGCAAGAGCTGATGCATCTTGCAGCAGTGATGAAAGGCGACGACATACTGTCAAGTTATCCTGAGAGTATAGCTAAAGGAATGACAGTAAAGCAAGGGAAGGAGTACATGGAGGATGCAGTAAAGCGATTCTTCGAGGCAGCAAGACTTGCCAAGAAGTTAGGAGTTCATGAAGAACAGATTGTCAAAATGAGGCCTTCTCTCACTTCAAGACCTTTAAAATCTGACACCCAACAACACCCTTAAGGCCCTATATAGTCAGTGTATCAGTATAGGTAGATTAGATCATCTAATCCGAAAAATGTACCAAAGTTTCAGGTAGTTAGTTTTGTTGTAATATGGAGTGTAACATTACATAAATATGGGAAATATAATTAACACTGATCACAAATTTCAGAACCCACACATTTCTATAAGAATGCAGTTATGCACCGCGAATGGATTGTCTGACTGTCACTCCTGTATCGCGTTTTTTTATCTTCTCTGTTCATATATCTTCTGCACCACTGCAACACTTCATATGTAACTTTGCTCCTTAACAAAATCTCAATAGTAGTCCTATGCTTTATATAAGAATTTCCATGAATGTATGCTATCCTCAAAGAATGTGTTATAATGTAATTACAGATTTTCCCAACCAGGTATATTGGCTGTGGCTTCGTTCACCATATTTATTAATCTTACCTGCAGCAAGAGTAGCCATCCACAATACTCAAATGTGATTTCGAGTTACTTAAAGAAGCTCAATGAAGTCATGCAATGTCGATTATGACTAATAATGTAAATTTGCAGCATTATTTAGACTTGACAGACACACTCGTGTAATTAAATTAGAGGCTTACCACAGTCTCAGGAGCTCCAGGAGGAGGCAGTGTAAGATTCTTAGGTGGAGGACCGTCTTGAAACGATCTCTTGTCGAAATGCCAATCAGTGATCTGTCCATAAGTAAGCTCTCCCTGCATAGTTGTGACTATCAGACCAAAGAAATAGCTAGATGCTTTGTTACAACGAAAATTGCACATGAAATTTTCTAGCATGGTTCATTCTGATTATAGTTAAGGATGTACTAGCAGTTGGTTCCTAGAGAATGAAAAGGCGGTATATGCCAATAGTATTGGCTTGTTTTAATCACAACCATAAGTATAATGGATGATGTAGAAACAATGGTTAATATGTACCTTCTTGTTATAATCACAACCATAAGTATAATGGATGATGTAACTATTTCCAATATTCCAGTCTCTTGGAGGCTGAAATAAATACAGAGGAGTTAACATTAATACTATCAAAGTAAATATACACATTGCTAAAATACAAATTATGCAAATATAGCCATAATTTTAGTACCTGCAACATGAGATGTTCATGAAGATTGTGCTTCACCCCATGTAATGCTGAAGCTATGGCATATGCATACCTTCACACAAGCACATTTCGACCTTAATCTCAAGACAAATATAGTCACGTACATCTATAATATTATTTGAACTAATAATGTGACGACTGAATCCAAAAGTAGATTGTAAAATTTGAACTCACATTTCTTGCACCCAATCAAAGGTACTATCCGCCTCTGGATCACTTTTTATTCGCAAAGATATATTCATCCAAGTAGGCGCGATTTCTTTTAGCAATGACTAACAAGTTGTAGAGTGTACCATTATTAGTCTATGAGAACATAAAAAAATAAATGAGGTAACTAGGACAAAATTTCATTGCTTTCTTATTTACTTTGTACCTTTGCTATTATAACTGGTGAGCTTCCAATAGGATCCACATTCGATATGGATCCTACCGGGTAAAACTTTCGAATGATCTTCTCGTTTTCTTCAGGTTTGATGTAGAAAAACGGATACGCTGCCGGGTTTTTTCCTTGTGCCAAATTAGGCAAGGGCTTCACAAATAGATGGTCTGGTTCACCCATCAAAATATATCTACATCAAGATTTTATGCGTAATTTTGTTTGATAATGTCACTTAGCTTGTTACAAAATAAATACTTCTTCATAAGAGGAATTAAGCAAGGAAATCACTTTTTTTTTTTTGAAAATAAGCAAGGAAATCACTTACTCTTCCTCGATTGTTGCCTTTTCCAACCATTGAACAAAAGCCCATGGTCTGTTTAACACAATGTATCCCTATACAAAATGTTATCAAATTTAGAACAAGCCTTTATTAATTTTTGAGAATTTTTGGTCAATAAAGTTTGAACCCAAAATACATATACTAATTCAAAAGAATATACATTTCATATTTTCATCTTTCGTATAACTCAAAACAAGAGCAAGTGTTGTTATTTTGACTTGATGCACCATGAGCACTGTACACCCGGGTCCACCAAGTAAGTGCCAGTACTTTTTTGTATTTGGAAAGACAGAGAGGATGGCTTTATTATTTGATTATAGGAGGAAAATTAGAAGAGATTACTATTTTGAGTCTATTAATCATACTTCATACCTCAAAGATTAATTAATTTATCACAATGGTACTCACCTGATCTACACCCTCAGGAAGAGGATCCACCACAAAGGAAGGGATCTCCTCCATCAAACTATCGGGTTGACCCGAATGCAAAACCCGGGTAAACCCACCCATATCGGACCCGGGCAAATCTTTAACTCTCTTGTACCAATAGTACATTATCCTGCACTGCCATTTGCTATAGAGTGAATCTGTAGCTGTTACTGCTACATGAAACTTCAGCCGGTTTAAGCCCACGCCCTGATCCGGGTCCGTGGGCACGTTGATAACCGGTTCAACACGTCGATCCGGCCCGTAACTACTTAACACTCTTGGTTGACTTCTTATCAACAATAGAGTAGAGAAGTTACACAAGGCTATACAAAACCCAATAGCTAGTCCCACAAACAAAAACATAGCTCCCCTGCTCATTCTAGTTCTCCTATTCATTTTTGTACAAGTATGGTTTATCACATGAAAAAATATTGAAACTTTAGAAAGATTTTACAAGAAAAATGAATGTAAACCAAATTACAATTACAGAATTGTAGAAGAGGAGGTTGGATAAAAAATATGAAGCTTAACAAATGAAATTGTTTGTATTTTACAAGTAGTTCATAAAATAAAGGCAGACAAGATAAGTTGTTGCAAGAAATTATTGATTATATATGATAATTGGTGTTTAGTATATGGATAAATGAACACTAGCCCATTTTTTATTATATGAAATGATCAACCAACCAACCAAAATTCAATTGACTTGTGTAGTTGTGTATAATTAATTCTACTAATAATTGATTCGAAACTACACTGGTCTGACCACCAATGCAAGTCTAAAATGGCGGTGGTAGTATCGACCTGTAATTGAAACCAACCATTGCAAGGATAAGACTTACATGTACCATGATCATACAAGCAGTACCTAATGCTCACTTTGAAACCAAGGAGGGCGGCGTAAATCTTTTTATTATCTTCCATAATTGAATTCAAGCATCTACTTCTGTGTTGAGGTAAAACTGTTAAAAGTATAACATAATTTGTATGTCATTAGGAAGGAGACTCCCCTCTCTACAAAATACACTGTAGTTTTTTTTCTCTGTTTGTCAAAATATGGAGTATTTCGGTACATTTTCTGTATATTCATCCCATCAAAAACTAAACAGACCTATGCTTTGTATAAGAATTTCTTTGTAGATGCTATGTTCATAACATACTGCGTTCGATTACAGGGTTTACCAACCAGGAATATTGGCTGTAGCTTCATTTACCATCTTTACTAGTCTTACCTGCACCCAAATATCAGCATAGACACATCATTACAAAAGCGATTTAAACTGTTGCAATGTTAATGAACAAAAAATGGTTATGTCATGTGGAAGTTTTCACTAATAATGAACATTAGAACAACGCGTCATGTTGTTTAAATAACCATGTGGTGTCTGGTGTGTATAACCTGATATATGATGTATTCAGTAAGTGGCTATCTAAGTCAGAGACATACCACGGTCTCAGGAACGCCAGGAGGAGGCAGGGTAAGATTTTTCGGGGGAGGACTGTTTATATACAATCTCTTGTCAAAGCGCCATTCACCAATTTTTCCATAAGTTAGGATTCCCTGCATATATAAATTTGTAATTCAGAGCAAAGTGACTGAAAATAATGTACTAATGTAGGCATGACTAATAGTACCTTCATGGTATAATCGCAACCATAAGTAAAATGTATGATGTAACTTTTCCCAATATACACGTCCCATGGAGGCTGTACCATGAAATTTTTGTGAAGAATATGCTTCACACTGTGCAATGCAGAAGCTATGGCATACGCGTACCTTCATACAACCACATTAACATTAATATCAAGCAAGCGCGAGTTGAATATAGTGGATCAAGGTGATAAAAAACTGTTACTTGTATCAGCAAACTCACATTTCTTGCACCCAACCAAAAGTGCGGTCTGCTTCAGGATTATACTTTATTTGCAATGATACATTCAACCAAGTAGGTGCGATTTCCTTCAGCAAGGACTATGACAGGAAAAAATTCATACCAAATTAAGGAAACTACTAGTTCAACTTTGACAAAGTGACACAATTCATTGCTGATGTACCTTGGTTATTATGACAGGAGAGTTTCCAATAGGATCCACATTTGATATGGAGCCTTTCGGATAGAACTTCCTGATAAGCTTCTCGTTTTCAGCTGGTCTGATGTAGAAAAATGGGAATGCAGCCGGGAATTTTCCGTGTGCTAGGTTAGGCAAGGGTTTAAGAAATATATGGTCTGGTTCAGCCATCAAGACATATCTACATTAACATTGGTAAAATGTCACTTACCACAAAATAAAGCAGTCAAGGAAGTTTTTACTCCATACTTACTGAATCCCGAATTAGTTGTTTATCTCAAAATCTTATAATTAAGGATATGTGAACAGGCCCTAAGTATTTACACGGGTGTGAAATATTCAATCACGAACCACTACTATTTTCATAAAGGCGACAACTTTTATAGACGGAGCAAGTATCAAAGATTTGGAGAAGTCTTAAGTTTTGATGCAATTACTCACTCTTCCTCAATTGTTGCCTTTTCCAACCATTGCACAAATGCCCAAGGTCTATTCAGCACAACATATCCCTAAATAAAATAAAAATCTCCACTTTAGAACAAGCAAATATAAGAAATTTTTATGTCAGATTACATACATTTAAATATGTTAATAGAATAGTAGAAAGTAGTTCTCAAATCAAACAAGTAACCTATTATTTATACCAATTATCTGCAATGAATATTGTCAATGATGAAAGATGTACATCTGATTTTGAAACCTTGACCAGAACAGGTACCAGAGAAGCAATTATGCACCTAACCATATAATTATTTGACCTTGATTTCATGAAACATGAACTAAAAGCAAAGTAAACTATACTATATTCTGCTAGACTAGATAACCACATCACCATACAATAAATTAACAAAATTGCCAAAAGCCCAACCAATAATAATTTAACAAGTACAAATATAATTAGATTAAAAAAAAAAGATTAGATTAATAACTTGTATGTGCATTATAACTTAGAGTTCTACTTACCCAAGCGAGTTATGTAAGCAAGTGAGCAACTTCCCCTATTTTGTGGTGAGTAGAATTCAAAAGTTCCACTTCCAATGCTTCAATGCATATGCCAACGAAACAACTTTTCAATTTTTTATATCCTATGAATTTGAACATTCTATAAATTTAGATGTCAATCAAACAACTACGTAATCTAGTAAAGAACGGAATTTTTTATTGAACTACCTAGTCTAAGAAAAATTATAATGAGGTTTTGAGGTTGCAAATTTCTTAAATTTTGAAAATCTTTCTTTGAGAGGATCCTCACACTACATGACTACAATCACCCTCTACTAAAAGTTCTTTTTCTTTTTTTTTTTTTTTTTTTTTTTGAATACCAAAAGTTTAGTTTGGTTGGTTGCTGTATATTTTCATGTGCATAAAGTGAAATGACACAAAATACCAATCCAAACAAAAAAATAAACCAAAAGACAAACTTGAAACGAAAGCAAAGCAAACTAGACTAAACTAAACTAAACTAAAGCACAATCATTCAAACAAAAAACTAAAACTAAAACTAAAACTCACCTGGTCAAGGCCATGAGGGAGAGGATCCACAACAAAAGAAGGGATCTCCCCCATCAAATTATCGGGCCGGCCCGAATGCAAAACCCGAGTAAACCCGCCCATATCCGACCCGGGCAAATCCTTAACCCTCTTATACCAATAGTACATTATCCTACATTGCCATTTGCTATAAGGTGTGTCTGTAGCCGTGACTGCTACATGAAACCTCGGTTTCGGGCCTTCGGCTTCTTTCCGTTCTTTAGGCATTTCAACAACCGGGTCAGCCCGGCCCGGATCATTATAACCCACTCTTTTAGGTTGATTTTTTAACCACATTAAAGTGACAAAACAAACCCCAATTGTTAATGCCACCCATAAAAACAGAGTTCCCCTGTTTATTATGCTTTTTCTCCCATTCATTTTCCCTCAATCATTCAACAAATTCTGCACATAAAAATGATTTTAACAAAATGGGTATGAATAAATTTTGAAAAAAATTGAAACCCCAGATGAAATTCTCAATTTTTATTGAAATTGATTAAAACAAATGTTAGTAAAAATGGTGAGTTAAAAGAGGGTACCTGAAATTCTGGAATTGATGATGCAGAGGAGTAATTGAAAAGGGTGGGAAATTGGAGGAGAGAGAAAACAGAGGAGAGAAAATAAAAGGGGTGGAGTAAGAGTTAAAATCACATGGAAAGTGAGAAGTGGGACAATATTGATGGAAGAAGAATGTGAGAGGGAAGGAGAAAATTCTCCCCGTCTCAAACGTTACTCAACTTGACAACTGGGGTTTTTGTTTTACGGACTGACTCGCTATTCATTAAGGTTGCAGAAATAAACAGTTGACTTTCTTTTGTCACGCATATGCTAGGAATTAGACTTGGGCACGGTCTGCTTCCCGCAGGCTTTTTTTATAGAGAGAGAGAGAGTAAGAGGGGCGGTACGCTCCGTCAATCCGCTGTTCATTGATAGACGAAGCTCTCTTTATCATCTCGTGCCAGATGCAACAAAGGATGAGTCCTTTTCTCTTCTCGCGAACCACGAGAGCGCCTAGTGCCCAGAAGAGCAAAGCTCATTTTCCTTTTAGGGTAAAGCGGCGCGTCAAAAATAACTGGCCCGTCAAAAGGCCGGGTCCTTTAAGCTTAAGTGTCATGTCAGCGTGTTTTGTACTTAAACAAATTGTGTTCGATCCCCCGCAATAACAATCGGGAGGGGACTGGAAGCTAACCACCCAGAACTGATTCCCGAATCCGGATTACTCATGGAACACCAAAAAAAAAAAAAAAAAAAAAAAATTGTGTTTGTAGCGGAGTGACAAAACTTTTGCTAAGTAGGACTTGTGTTGATTTTATTATATAGGACCTCATGTTTCATGTTTCATGTGTCAAGTTGTGCAACTCGTGTTGTGACAATATTTTTTAAATAGTTTAAAAAATATATTAATAAATAAACAAGCGAGCGAGCTAATACATGGATTAACGTTTTAAGCTTATGACATATTTTAAAAATAATTGACCCTACAGTGTATTTCTAGTACCATGACGGAATTGTTTTGAGTCAAGCTTTTTTCGTGTCATGCCTTATCGACCCATGCTTATTTCTAATTAGATTAGTCTTAGACTCAATACACCTATAGGGTTTTGTTGCAAATAGAAAATTAATGTTTGTGTCAGTAAACCACCCTGTAATTTCAAAAAATGTTCTTCACATCTCAATAATTCCATACTCCATAGTACAAGCCATTATAAACATTCAACTATATATACACGTCAAGAAGTTTTTTTCATGTATCACAGTCACAATTGTTTAAAATCTTATCATAAAATTTAAACTTTTGTGAGTTCATTTATCATTATGTAAGAGTAATAGATGGTCACATTTTTATAATAAACACATGAGATTATAACACTACAATCGTTCTCCTTTTTAGACTTCCCAACCTCAAACGTAGTTCTGATTTTTTTTTTTTTTTTTTTTTTGAAACAACGTAGTTCTGAACTTCTGATAAACTTTGTTCATTCCAAAAACAAAAATTAACCCAAAAAATTACAAACTTTGCGTTTTTAATTCATCATACCTTCTTTTAGTAAAACTCAAATGTAAGTAACATTTTGTAATAAGTAATTGGAAGTTCTAATAAAATTGATTATGATATAACGTGAAAATTATGAATACTTTTTTAGAATTTTAGGGTGTGCTGTCTTTGTTTCTGTAGAAAAATCTTTGTTTAAAAATTCAATGTAAATAAAATCATAGATTATAAGAAACAAAAAATAAAGTGAATTGTAATTAGCCAAAAAAATATATCCGTGATATTGGATCGGGGGTTTTGAACCCGACGTGAATCGAACACGCAACCTTCTGATCTGGAGTCAGACGCGCTACCATTGCGCCACGGATCCATTTGTTAATCATTTTTATGACAATTTATATTAGAACATTAAACCAACAAAAGTATGCAATTATTCAAATACATTACATAAAATCAATGAGTTTGTACATGAAATTGAACTACAAGATTGTTGTTGCAGCTCTTCGTGCTAATATAATCCAACAAATAACGCGATACACGATGAAAAACCCGATCATAATCCCAACATTTTCCCATCTAATATCTCTATCAAGACCTCTATTCCTCAAAACATCACCTCCATTCATCAAACAATTACTAGTAGTATGGTTTTTATTGTTTGCCCAAGAAAAACAATCATTTCTCATACCCCAATATTCGTTAACAATCAATGAGTCCAAAGGGTACCTATATAATGAAACATAGTACATAAAAATCCAATACTTTGGTATGATCTCTTTTGGTATGAAGTAGCCAGAGAACAAGAAGAATGCTCCAAGAACGGTGCAAATGAGCGAGTTTCCGGCTATAAAGTCCGGGGATATTGAGCTTAGGAACATGACTAATGAGCTAGCCATGGAGATTATTAGCCATACCGCGAAAACAAAGAAGGAGAATGCTTGGATTGAAGGGTTTAACCCTACAATCCAATACACAGGAACAGAGAAAAGAAGGGCTATTACAAGTAAAAATGGGAGGAATATTAGGGTATTGGCTATCATATAAGAAGACATTCTATATGCTTTTCTTGAGGATTCTTTCATGATTACCTTTCTTTCTTGGAGGTATATAGGTAATGCTTCAACTGTCGACGAAAGGAGGAAGCTTAGACTGAATGCAAATAGGCCTAATCTTTCTCCAACACCGGTTTCGTTTTTTCCTAGCTTCACATACACACTTCCTAGACCTAATCCTCCTACAAGAGCTTGCATTGTTCTTGCAAGAAATAGTTGCTTTGTTCTATAAATCACTTTCCAAAATCTAGAACAAAGGATCATTATTTCAAGACCCCAATTGTAGAAATACCCTTTAATTCCTTCATCAGTTGTTGATGAGCTTGATTCGTGGAAGTCGAATTTCTCATCCTTGTTCCAAATTGTTGTGTTAGGAGAGGTATTAGGTTGCTCGATTTGTGAAATTGTCGATTTTTTATCTTCGAGTTTGGAAATTATCTCCATAGCAAACTCTAAGGCATTTAATTGTAAGGGAATTTGGTAACCAAGATGGGAGATCCTTCCCTCAAGCGATTCGAGGCTTCCACTGTGAGCCACCCACCCATGGGATAAGATCAAGAAGTGAGAAATACGCTTAAACATTCGATAACTCGGTTGGTGTATCGAGAAGATAACACTCTTTTGTGTCGATTTCGACATCAATGAAGAAAGCAATTCAATGACTTGAAGTGCTGAGGAGCTATCTAACCCTGAAGTTGGCTCATCTAGGAGCAAGATTGGAGGGTCATGGATCAATTCGACACCAATCGATACACGTTTTCGCTCTCCCCCGGAAATTCCCCTGTTTTCTTCATCACCCACAAAGCTATTTGCAACTTGGAGTAACCCAAGTTCTTGCAACAAACTCTCAACTCTGTTTTTCCTCTCCTCTGAGGTTAACTGCCTTAACCGAAATTTGGCGCGAAACATTAAAGTTTCTTTAACAGTTAACAAAGGGAGTAAATCATCTTCTTGGGCCACAAACCCACATAAAGCTCTTAATTGGGCTGGGCTTTTTATTGGGTACCCATTTAAAGAGATTGAATTTGGGTCAAACTCTTTCTCTTTTACTCTCCCTGAAATGACCCTTAAAAGGGTGGACTTTCCTGTCCCACTTGGGCCCACAATAGCTAGCATTTGGCAACTTTGGGCTGTGAAAGAAACTGATTTTAGGATCTCAATGTTGGGCTTGGGCTTATGAAATGGGCCCCCATTTTGTTTGAGGGTGTAGGAAAGGTTTTTGACACTTAACTTGTAAACCGTTGTGGATGGTGGTGGTGAGTGGTGGCGCGAGGAGGAGGAAGAGGAGGAGCAACCGGATAATTCTTCGTTCGAGTCTGAGGTCGAAAAAAGAATTATCGCGTCATCTTCCGTGGCGGGTAGTTTAAAGCATTTTGCCATGGTTTTGTTTGGGGGTTATATGCTTAGGTTTGGAACTAATATATGGCAAAGTATTTTATAGTAAGGGAGTTTATGTATTTTTGGAGGTTGGAGGTTGGAAGTTGTAACTACCAAAGTTTGCTTGATGGTGTGGAATTTCTTGTGTTTGGTTATCTAAGAAATATTATGTACTCAAGTTGACTCTAAACTAAAGACTTGGGTTGGGTATGAATGGAAATAATGGAATAATGGTTTTTTAGTTTATTTTGGTTAACCAGCATAAACTTAGGTTAAATTAGGTTTGAAAGTAATTTGTAGTTCCCTATTTTGGAGATTACTTTTCCCCTGAGTTTCTCATGGTAACGGTAACGTATGGACATTTGATTACTTTCCTTGATTTTATGATATCTTTTTAATAAATCACCACATTAATTAATTTGTTTTTGTTTTTTAACTATCAATTTTATTTTTATTTTTATTTAAAAAAAAATCCACACCTTCTTTTTGTTTCAAAAAAATTTGAAATTGTCACTCTCCAAAAAAAAATTAAAATGATCATTTTCCTCGTTTCTTTATTTCTTGAGATGGTCACTTAGGCTTTTTTCCTTGTTTTCTAATGGTCACTTTCCTTATTTTGTTTTCTTCCTCTTTTGCTCTTTCTTTTCTGTTTTTTTTTTTAAAAAAAAATCACTTTCCTGGTTAGTTTATTCTTTACATTTTTTAAAAAAATGTTCACTTCTTAATTTTATTAATTTTTTCTTTTTTTTACAATGATTACTTTCATTAATTTGTTTATTTTTTGAATTAATTTAAATGATCACTCAATTTGTTTATTTTTTCCTTATATTGGATCACTTTCATTAATTCATTTATTATTTTTCTTTGAAATGATCTCTTTCCTCAACTCATTTAAATTTTACCTCTTTTAAAATAACATTTTCGTTACTTCTTTTGCTCATTTTTGTTATGACATATAAAATCACTTTCTAAATTAGGTTGTTTACCAAACCAGACCAAAGACCAGCATTTTCAATTTCAATAATAGGTAATCGCCCTGTTCGGACCGGTTAAGCTGTGAAATTTCCTCATTTAGAACATTATTACATGTTAGCTAATAATGATTGAAAAACTTTTACTGAATGTTTTGTTTCTTGCATTAGTTTATGTAAAATTGCCATAAATTATCACCTTAATAGATATTTTTTAAAAAACAGGAGTAAAACTTTAAACAACTAGTAAAAAATAATTCATTTTTGACCAAAATGAAATGGGGATAGAATTTCAATCCAAATAACCATATGAATACATCAAGCTGAAACAGAATTTACACATAGGTAAATACCAATAATGCAATTAGTTTACATAAATTCCTAAATTGTCACTATCTTTTAGTCCCAAAGTAAATCATCAATTAGCTCAAACAGAACTTATAAAGTAGATTTGTAGGCTTATGTTAGTTTCAAACAACATTTAAACTCATTTAAGACTTTCAAATAACTTTTCAATCTCTAAGAAGCTAAAAGTTTTCATCAACATACATATACAAAATCCTATATGTTGTCAACCAGACAACCACACCATTAGTTGTTGGGGTGGCAAATACATACACATACAAGGAGTAAATTAAGTAATGAATTTTACGTCGATGTTCATATAGGGAATAAGGGGTTACTCTAATGGAAAAATGAGGCAAGTGGATTTATACTAACGAATAATGGATAAACGATTACTCTTATAAACAAATGTGGTCCGTCCATAATCAATACTTACTTCTTATTCAAGTAAAATTTTAGAACCATATATACTTCATATAAATTAAACATACAATTTATGGAATATATTTTCCATAATTCACTTGCCCAAATTTTTGTTTTAAGTTGAAAATAGCAACTAACACCTTACCAGAATTGTTTTTTGTTTGTTTGTTTTTTTTTTTTTTTTTTTTTTTTTTTTCAAAAAAAAATATTTTTTTAAAAAAATATATTCCCTCCTTTACACGATTGCTAAAATTAAATGTAGTCGTCAAGAAGGAAATCTCAAATTGGAAAGCAATGGTTTATCCAAATAATTCAACTGAAATAAATTATAACAAATAAATAAAAATTTATAGGGAGCAAAAAACTCAGAGTTGTCATAGACATATCTCCAACCTAGTGGCATGTGATAGCTTAAAAAGATACAGTTGAATAAGACACTTCACATATAAAGTCAAGGGTACTTCTGACATTATTATGCGTTGATTCAAGACTAGGACGATTTGTTGATCAATGTTCAATGTCTGTGTACAATTTTATTACCATTAATATTTTAATTAAGTTTAATCTACCATGGTCAAACCCATTTATAGAAGCTAAATCATTTGTTGAACAAGTTTTAGTAACTTTTTTGTTTGTTTTCAAGAGATATATTGGTGATCTTTGCTTTTGTTTCAGTTTTGGATTAGGTTTTCATGGGTTGGGATTTGGGTTTGTTTTCATCTCCGAATTGATACATCATATAATCGTCTTTTTTCATAAAGTAGTTCTATCATGAGTTAATTACTTGGAATTAAAATTAAAAGTTAGGGCATGTTCTTTTCAGCTTAATTTCACTTCAGTTCAACTCCTAATTTCGGGTCTATTCTGATTGACTGAACTTGACTTATTAGAGTTGAACTGAACTGAATTGAATATTTTATTAGAGAAGAAATTAAGAATTGAACTGAACTAAACTAAACTGAACTTATTGGAACTGAACTGAACTAAAAATAATCTGAAGAGAACAAATCCTTCCTTCTCTCATAAACAATTCATTCCAGTTCAGTTTAGTTCAGTTCAACTCAGTTTAGTAAATCAGTTTAGACCCTTATTATGAGACTATGAAGAGATTTCATATATAATACGTTTGGTTTCATCATTAATAATATTGACATACTATATTAGAGTCATTGTAATAATTAATTTAATTCAAAAAATAGATGATTCAAGTTTTCCTTTAATAATACATAGTACTCCGTAATATGTATACAGAGTACGAGATAAATATAAATAAATTGTAAGAATTTGTTGAAAATTAAGGGTGAGGATCGAAAGTTTATTGGACACGAAGTATATTTTATACAATCTTATTTTAATGATAACAGAAATGTGGTTTTCATCAATTGACTCTTATTTTGACGTGTAGGTATAATTTGATGAGCATCAACTAATTAAACTAACGTTATTTCACTGCAAATTTGTATTATTATCGTTGAGGTAGAAAAAAAAAATGAAAATTTTTAGAGTTTAGCACCCTTTCACATCTTGATTCTAAAATCAATTCCAAAATAATTACGATCGTAGTGCCAAGAATATGAGATACATATCAAAAAGATAAGATTCTACGTAAACATAGAGGGGTGTGAATAAACCTTGATAAGTTCAATTAGAATAAAGTACTAATTAAAATAATTAGATTAAGATCTCCAAGGTTATGTTCTTGACAGTAATCAAGATTATACTACTAAGTTTGCTTACAAATTCCCGACTTTTATGCATCGTTAGAATCGAAGTCAATTTTATAAATAAAATGATCTTTTGTTGACCTTTAATATGTGAACTAAGGGGAGTACTACAATACTCGTACTTATCATTATGTACGACATACGTATGTTGCGGCATGTCCATGGTATAATGAAGTTGCAAGTCTTGTAACAACATAGAGCTAGGGTTAGATAAATGGCTACATCAAATATGATTGAGAGAAGGGGCCACACTAATTATTATTATTAATAATTAATATGATTAATGATATTTTGACATTACTAGAGTGTATGGTATAATAGAGCTTATGTTGTCAAAAAGGGAATAAAAGGAAATATTTCCTAGAATAAGTTAAACATCAGATAGTCCATTTCATCTTAATCATAGTTATTTTCGATAATCTTTTTTTAAAAAAAGTGATAAGTTTCCGACTGCGTTTCTATCTACAAATCTATTGAAGTCTCAAAGAGTATTAATTAGTTTTAGTTCTGATGCCATTAGGATAAAAAATAAAAAGGATTAAGAAAAATCAAGCTCGAAAAATCATGTAGGATCTCTTAATGTAATTATGTAAACATGTGAAGGAAATACCCGTTTAATTAATTACTACCTCCGTTACGGGTTATGTGCAACGACTTGACATAAAGCAGAGAAGGAAAATGTCTAATCATTGCACATAACATGTAACGGAAGTAGTATAACACTATACAAGATCTTACAACTGTCATTGCACTTGCTCTCAGCTGACGAATGATATATACCATGAATTTTCTTTAATGGAAATATCAGTTCAATTAAATATAACACTACACGGGATCTTACAACTGTCATTTCACTCGCTCTTAGCTGACGAATGATATATACCATGACTTTTTCTTTAATGGAAATATTAGTTCAATTAATTATAACACTATACAAAATCTTACAACTGTCATTTCACTCGTTCTCAGCTGACGAATGATATATACCCTGACTTTTTCTTTAATGGAAATATCAGTTCAATTAATTATAACACTATACAAAATCTTACAACTGTCATTTCACTCGCTCTTAATTGACGAATGATATATACCATGACTTTTTCTTTAATGGAAATATCAGTTCAATCAATTATAGCACTATACAAAATCTTACAACTGTCATTTCACTCGCTCTCAGCTGACGAATGATATATACCATGACTTTTTTTTTTAACAGAAATATCAGTTCAATCAATTATAACACTACACATGATCTTACAAGTGTCATTTCACTAGCTCTCAGCTGATGAATGATATATACCATGACTTTTTCTTTAGTAAAAGTATCAGTTCAATTAATTATACCACCATATACAAGATCTTACAACTGTCAGTTCACTCGCTCTCACAAATGCATGCAACCATTGCGTGTTAATTCTCCTCTTTCAAAAGTGTCATCCAATAGCTTATGATCTTATAAGTTACGCTAACAAAATTGTTCTTGACACATGTTAAAATTGGATGTCTTTTAATTGATTAATTGTCATATAATAACGCGTAATCCTGTAATTGAAGTTTTACTCCCTTATCAATGTCGCAATTAAGTCTTAATACTGAAACTATGGGATTGCATGCCTTTTTCTCTAGAGTTATTTTGTAAGCCTAAAATCTGAAATGATTCATAATAGACATAGGAAGAAATCAAAAGAATATTCCTTGTTGCTTGTTTCTAAACCATTTAAAACCTTCACATGTACTTGTATGATCAACCTTCTAGAAAAAAATATCTCACATTAACAATTCAATCGCGCTACATAAATATTTACAACAACTAACAGTAAAAAAAAACCTAGTTCAACAACTACACACGTGACAAAATAGCAAACTAACCCCATCAATCCTTCACTACGCGTCGATAATTAACACTGCTTAGAGTAAATCTAGTTCAGTATTAAGTAAAAATCAGGTAAATAGAAAGAGATTGTGACCAAAAAAGGTAATACTCCTATAGAGAAAGTACCAAACA